ATTTCTCCTCTGTTCTCAGCCGGTGGATACCACCATTCTACTTTCTGTCTCTACCACATTTTGCTTATCCATTTGCCCATCACATGCATTTTTCTACGGTTCCTGGTATGCCTTGTTACCTTTATGTTCCCAGCCAGCCGCTTACACTGTGCTCAGCTGAGTGTCACAGGCCCGCAGTGGGTCTTTGTTGACTGTACTGTAGTTCATTGTTCACGTGCCTGCCCAGCAGAGAAGGTTAGGAAATCATCAAGGATGTCCGCATGCTGCCTGGTGGAGAGGGATAAGATGGATATATATTTGTTCAATTCCTATTGGATGATCGTCATAATGACCACAGGCCACGTGTTGGGAGCTTGCTGCCTGCTAGGCACTGTGATGCGGTGAATCAGTCCATCTAATCCTCACCACAGCCCCGTGGGGGGAGTACTGTCACCCTCACCCATGCACCGAGAAGGACAGAGAATAACAAAGAAAGGGACCTCTGCCGGCATTCTTGTTCAGCAGCCGCTATGCTGCACCCAGGGCAGGGCAGGGGCCGCCTCTGAGGAAAAGTTGGCGAGCCCAGAACATGCATTCCGCAGCTCATCTGCCTGCCCGACCTCCGAGACTGAGTTTCGTCATCTGCCAGCCTGCCTCCTGGGCGATACCAGTTCCCTTCCCTCTGCCTGTACCTTCTGCAGAGACTCCTCACCTGAAATGTGCACCTGTTCTCCATGTGGTCCAACCCCCCCCTCCTCAACACCGGCTTCGGGTGAAGCTTTGCCCGATTCCAAGGACCCTCACACACCCCTCAGCGTCCCTCCCGCGCCACCTGGCCCTCGGTTCATGCCCATCCTGGCACGCTGCCCTCTGAGTGAGTGGGCTGTGCTAGTCTTACTTGCTCAACTGCACAGAAACTTAGGAAATTGGTCTTAGAGTGTTCTTAGCCTTTCTGGAATGCATCTCTATGGGTGACGGCCTGTAGGTAGCAATATCCATGTGTTCAACTACTTGGATCTTCCTTTCCTTTTCATGCGGACATGAAGTCGGACCCTAGGAACCATCTTCCCTTACAGTATATCCTCTCATGATTTGCTTAAAATATGAGAACAGTGTGAGGCAGACAGACATTACTGAATTCCAACATTGGATCAGTGTTAGTGCTAGGATTCATATGGAACCAGGTGTTAGCCTAGGGGCCACATGACATCAGGTGTTGGTGCTGAGATTCATGTCACCACACCTTTGATTTTCCACAGGAGTGCTCACTGATGCAAAAAAAAAAAAGAAAAAAAAACCCACCACTGTTAGGCATTTAAAATGCAGACCACATTGTTCCTGTGTCTTTTCGCTCCAAATCAAGGGACTTTGTACTAAATATGTTTATACTCACTTTATACTAAAATATGTTTGTGAATATAATTATTTGAAGAATAGAAAAGTCAGGGTATCTAGAACCGTCTGTAAGTGCTAAAATTATTTTTTATCATAAAATATTCCTTCAGATAGAAACTTTGTTCATCTATGGTAGATTTGCTTGAAAAATTTTTACATTTTACTTCGTCTGTTGTTAGCTAGTAAAGAAAGCACCATTTTTAAAGCATTTTAGACTGGTTTTGAAACTTCACTTTGGTATTAAAACACATTGGCTAAACAACATGTGTTTGAGTATCTGCTGTAGTCCAAAATGCTGCTAGGCTATTTGAGGTTAAACAGCAGATTGAAACAGATGAGGCTGCTGATTTTCACTGTTCAAATGAAAATTATCGGGCACTTTATTTGATTTCTGGTTTGTAAAATGTGTTTTAAATGCAACTTTGATGTGTGCGGTTTCTCTTAAAATACACCAGTGGTTCCCACACCTGCCCTTGCCTCACAGCCTGACCTAGTTTGGTGGTTTTCAGGGATTTTTTTGAATTGTAAGACCTTGATAGTTCATTCTATTTGCAGGTTCCTCTTGTTATGCTTTATGGGATACGCTTTTGTTTGGTCTTGTTTTAACATATTCAATGGCCTTTCCACCTTCTGTTTTAACACAGTAATTAAACTCCTATCTGTGCCACTGAGTCCAATGCTTTAGTGGGAATATTTCAGTCCTGGATTTTTGGACAAGGGGTGAAATCAGAGACATGTAACCTACTTTTTCTACTGATTCAGTGTTATTTCTGGTTTTTAAAGCTGTGAGTTAAAGAAGAATGTGTTATTCTTCTTTACAGATGATACTTCTAAAACCTCCTTAATTATTACTTTGGTTATAGGGGTAAGAAAAATAGAAGATAAATTATTTCAATACATCCTAAAATATTTGATCACAGATTATTATGTACAGAAAAGGAAAATGGAAAAATGTTTCCCTGCTTTTCTCTAAAAATTGTTAAAAATTTTATCATGATTTTTTAAAGTGTATTATAATTAGGTCACGGGATGATCTCTGCTGCTAAAAATGAATGATCATCTACTTAGGTTATTTCCACCAAGATACTAAGAAAAAAAGAGATAAAACAACAGCAAATTGTTTAAAATGTCACGAAGGGAGCCCAGCTGAGGAATGTGTGCACATGGGTCACTCAATGGCCACAACTCCGGCACCACCCAGTTGTTTGCAACTCTCAGGCTGTAGCTATCGGCTTCTTGGAGCATTGTTAGTGCACTGAATTTAGTGACCATTCACCTTTCGTAAACTGTTTTGTTCCTCAAAGACAGAGTCTCACTCTGTCACCCAGGCTGGAGTGCACTGATGCAAACGTGACCCTCTGCAGCCTCGACCTCCTGGGCTCCAGCAATCTTCCTGCCTCAACCTTCCAAGTAGCTGGGACTACAGGTGCATGTCACCGTGCCTGGCTAACTTTTGTATTTTTTGTAGAATTGGGGTTTCACCATGTTGCCCAGGCTGGTTTCAAACTCCTGAGCTCAGGCAATCTGCCCCTCCTTGGCCTCCCAAAGTGCTGGGACTACAGGTGTGAGCCACTGTGATAGGCGTTAAAACTGTCGATGTACCTGTTCCAAAAGTCTTAGTGCAGCTTTCATCTTTAATAACCTTTAAAGTATAAAGACTACAGAAAGACCAGTTATTATATTTTCTATTGATTTTTTTAAATTAATATTTCACACATCCACTAGCTTGTGCTAGACATACATCTAGTCAGTTTTCAAACTTGATCAGCCATCTCCTGGATCTTGGCCTGTCATGAACTGAAACAGCTGCCTTGAATTTTTTCATCCTTTCATCCAGTGGTTAATTAAATTTCTGCAGGGGTGGGAGGCTCCTTATAATGGGAAACAAATTTCCTTCTTACTGCTATTGGGGACTTGAGCTCAGCTAACCAGAGAACAGGTGACCTTTTATTAAATGTTTGCCATCTTCAATCAGAAGGACTGAAAGAAAATTATTATTCAAAATGTACAAAACTAAGGATAAGAGAAATTTAAATAATTAACCTTTCAAATGCATTCAGACTTTTGAGATGCCTTCTGCAGCCCCGGCCCCCACTGTCCCCTCCAACCTGACCCACTGGTGCTTAGTCTCTTCCATCACATTTGAATAAATCACTGAGAGCCCATGGCTTCCCCGCACCACGTATGGCATTGGGCCCTCTTTGGCAGCGATGACTGCCTTTCTGTTCACACGCATTTCGTTGTGAGAATGCCAGTGGACACAACAGCTGCTCCTTTGGATTTCACCAGTTGTCAGTGGTTGATCAGCTATTTGGAATGCAGCCAATATGAGTGAGGAAATATCCATATTTGTGGACCTGTTACAATAGTGAAAGCTACAACCACAAAAAAAAGATGCAATACCGTTTTGAATTTGAACACCAGACCAACGTGAATGGTGAGATAATTGTCATCTTTACGACAAAAGAGAACTGAGCAAACAGTTTGCATGTTGGATGATGTGTTTGCAATGACTTTGCTAGATACTGCCAGTAAGAAAGTGTTCTTGGGCAGAGATACCTAGGGAGTTGGGTTTTGTTTAAAGCCATAACACAAGGTGGATTTTGGTTGTGTGTTCAGAGCTGAAGTTCTTGTTCCATTGGAGCACTCCACGACTCCCCTTTTAAAAGTGCAGCCTCGGCCGGACGCAGTGGATCACCCCTGTAATCCCAGCACTTTGGGAGGCCAAGGCGGGCGGTTCACAAGATCAGGAGATCGAGACCATCCTGGCTAACATGATGAAACCCCGTCTCTACTAAAAATACAAAAAATTAGCCAGGCGTGATGGCGAGCGCCTGTAGTCCCAGCTGCTCAGGAGGCTGAGGCAGGAGAATGGCGTGAACCCAAGAGGTGGAGCTTGCAGTGAGCGGAGTTCGCGCCACTGCACTCCAGCCTGGGTGACAGAGCGAGAGTCTGTATTTAAAAAAAAAGTGGAGCCTTTTCTTTTGGGACACTCTGAAGTTTGGTTTTAAAGGCAAATGGCAAAGTTGCATCTGTGGAAATGGCTACATATCATCACTGTAGGCACAACCTCTGCATGCCCCCTGTGACAGTGAAGAAACTCTTCTCAGGTTTAGAGACAGAAACTTTGAAGAGCAAGCTTCGGTTCCTTTTCAACCACGATATTAAGAAGCATTTAGGGCTGGGTGCAGTGGCTCACTCCTGTAATCCCAGCGCTTTGGGAGGCCAGGGTGGAAGGATCGCTTAAGCCCAGGAGTTTAAGAACAGCTTGGGCAACATAGCAAGACCCTGTCTCTACAGAAAATTTTAAAATTACCCAGGAGCAGTGGCACATGCCTGTAGTCCCAGCTACTTGGGAGGCCAAGGCGAGAGGATCCCTCCAGCCTATGAGGTTGAGGCTACAGTGAGCCGTGACTGTGCCATTGCACTCAAGCCTGGGCAACACAGTGAGACCCTGTCTCTAAAAAGAAGAAAGAAGAAGGAGAGGGAGAAAAAGGAGAAGGACAATTTTGACGACAGACAGAAGGATAGACTCCATTTTATTAGGGGCTTGGACTCTAGTGTGGTTGCTGCCACCCAGGTGAAGCGGCTCAAAGAGACGCGGTACAAAGGACACTCCGCAGATATTTGTGACTGGCATGGAGGGCAGGCCGGATTTATTGGTTGCTGGAAGAGTGGCAGATCATATTGGAAGTGAACATCATGAAACCCTCTTGAACTCTGAGGAAGGCACTCAGGCTCTGGATGAAGTCATATTTTCCTTGGAAACTTAGGACATGACAACAGTTCACACTTCAGTAGGTAAGTATTTAATTTCCAAGTAGATTTGGAAGAACACAGGTAGCATGGTGATTTTCTCTGGACAGAGATCACATGAACTTACGCAGGGTTACATATATTTTCATGAGGCTGAGGAGAGTCAGGGGCCTCTGAAGGAGCTCTATTTGTTTGATGTTCTCAGCGCAGATCCAACTGCCCACGCTGCCCACAGCCTTCACCCGAGAGTCTGGTGGCTGCATCATCGATTTTCTTCCTGTTACATGTCTCTGCCACCAGAAATGAGAACTCCAAAGATGGGGTGGAGAAACAGCTCCTGAAAGAGACATTTGAGGAATCTAATCTGATACCCTGAAGATATTCTCTGGGGAACAAAAGAAGCCTTCAGGGATGGAATAAGAATGCCTGGTTTAAGGTGTTACAGGAATATGTTGAACATCAGGTTGGTGATGCAATGACAGCAAATGTGGGCCAGAAATTTCCCTTCAATATCCTAAAGTCAAAGAACTCTATTCCTGCCCTCAAGGCTTGAACGCCACTACCCAGGCAGGGCTGAGTGGCTGAGCCAGTACCGGACGCCCGCTCACTGATCCACTGTAAGTCAGCTGCCTAAGCCTAGGTGCTCTCTGAGCCAAAGAGCAACAGCGAATGTTCTTCTCATTGTGAAGGGTAGGGGTACTGGGGATGGATAGGGGAGCAAGGAAAATCAACCACCCAGGCCTATTGGGGTGTGAAAAAAATAAAAGTCTTAAGTTTAAAGAGAAAGAAAGAGAGAGAGAGAAAGAAAGAGACTTCTGAGACCTCCTAGATGTCTTGAACTTCAACAAGAGCGAGGAAACAACTGTTTTACTTTTGTGCCTTTCAAATTCTCCATGAGGTGACCAGGACCTTCTCTTCCTGGCTCTGGCGCAGTCAGCCTGGACCCTCTGCCCGCAGCTCCCAGGGCAGCCCTGGGTTCCCGCAGGTGGGTGTGTTGCCGAGGAGAGCAATGCTGCTGCTGCGGTTGCCTAGCAACAGACGCTCACACTGAGAGCCGGAGCCACTCTGCTCTTGGTACCCTCCTCCCCAGCCCTGCTCCCACTGCTCCAGGTGACCAGCTGGTACACCTGATGCTGATCCAATGGTTCTAAACACACATGAGAATCGGTTTCCCAGACCAGACTAGAAAAAGGTCAGGTGATTGGGTTAAAAAATGTTTTAAGGTGTCTTGAATTCCTGCCTGAAAATAGGCTAAGATTGGCTTTGCATTTTTTGTAAGAAATGTCTCATCACTGTATAAGGAAAGTGCTTTTATGTTTTAGAGTGTTGGCAATGTGTTGTGGCACACAATGCAGGTAATAGTGCGAATGTTGCAGCCAGGCTACAAGGGTCTGTGTCCCAGGTACTCTTCTTACTCAGCCTCTCAGCCTCTGTAAAATGATGATGACAATAGTTCCCACCTTTTAGGGCAAATACCAAGTAAATTGTTCCATGGAAACGATTTAACCCAGTGCCAGCAATCACTCCATAACTAGAAGCAGTTTTACAGCACACACATTATCATTGTATTATTAATATATTAACCTTTTGGGTATATTTTGGTATATTTTTCATCACATGTGTTTACCTAATCCTTCTTAAATTTCAAGTATAGAATTTATCTTTAACAGTGATCGCTAAATCTGAACAAGTGGAAATCTTTTGCTATATTTTTAGGGAAACTAAATATCAGACTGCCTTAAAAATGTGGCTTCAGGTTCTAATATAATTCTCCCTTTATAAGTTTTCAAGGGATTTATTTTGTCCCCTGCTCTGCAACATTTTATAGAAATCTTGACATTAAAAAAGTTGGCAAATCCTTATAAAAATCCCACTACTCTATGCTTTTTTTAAAAAAAAAAGCATAGATACATACATTTTCTCGCCAGGCACTGTGGCTCAGGTCTATAATCCCAGCTCTTTGGGAGGCCGAGGCGGTTGGATCACTTGAAGTCAGGAGTTCGAGACCAGCCTGGCCAACATGGTGAAACCCCATCTCTACTAAAAATACAAAAAATTAGCCGGGTGTGGTGGCAGGTGCCTATAATCCCAGCTACTCGGGAGGCTGAGGCATGGGAATTGCTTGAAGCTGGGAGGCAGAGGTTGCAGTGAGCCGAGATCATGCCATGGCACTCCAGCCTGGGCAACAGAGCCAGACTCTGTCTCAAAAGAAAAAAAAAAAAAAAAATCTCCCCTTCTCACTGCCCCACTAGCCATAGCGCATGCTGGGTTGATATTGCCATGTGTGAATATATGTGTTTACACACTCACAAGATGTGAGTTGTGGAAACTGTGCTAAACAGTCTCCTTCCACAAAACTTGAACTTTTAACCTAGCTCAGAATGCAGTCTGACACTGTATGTTTGCTTCTGCCTATGTCTAGAAAAGTAATTCATTGCTTTTTTAAAATGTATTTTTATTTTCAGTAGGAATATTTACTGAAAAGTACTGTACTGAACAAATGTTTTTTTAGTTTAACGTGTGGTCATGAAATTCCTTTGATGAGAATTCACACTTTGAGCTGGAGTTATCTTTGGCTTTCATAACGTCATTCATTCCCTTGACAAATATTCCCAGAGCATCTCCTCTGGGTCAGGCACTGAACCAGGTACAGGTGCGGCAGGTACCAGGACAGGCTCAGCCTCGGCCCTCAAGGGGTCTACAGTCTAGTGGAATTTTGAGGACACAGTTAAACCATCACAATGCAAGGTGATGGGTGGGACGAGCAGAGACTCTGGTGCTCCCTTAGAGCATGAGAAGACATGCTTAACCCCCAGTGTGAGGTAGGCAGTGAGGCCCAGCTTGAGGCTGGAAGGATAACTAGGGGTTGGCCCAGAAAAGAGAGTCCCCAGGTATTCCCAAGACACAAGCAGCACATGCACCCGACCAGCCTGTTCAGGAACTGGGAGTGTTAGGAGGGATGGGGTACGCCCTAAGAAGCGGAGAGTTTATACTAACCCAGCCAGAAGGACCAGGCCCGGGGCTTGTAGATCATGGGGACAGTGATGTGACTGGGTTTGTATTACCGCAGTAGCAGCATTGTGCAAGGTGCACTGAAATGAGACAGGAGGCAGTGGAAACCCTCCGGAGGCCTCTGAAATCCAGCTCTATTAGTAATCTAAGACCACAGCAGTGGCAGACGCCACAGAAAGAGCAGGACAGATACTCAACAGGATGCAGTAACTGTTGGGGTTTGTGAGAAAATAGAGTCTGGCATAACTCCCACCGTTCTGGTTTGGAAAATTAGGGGCCCTTATTCAAGAGAAAGAACAGAGAGAGAAAGGAGCAGGTAGAAGGTGTAAGGGTGGCACGGGGCATGAGCTCAGTCTTTGGCAAGGTGAATTCCAGACACTGGCGGCACTGTGGGGGTGGTGTGTCTCGGGACGGTGGCGGTCAGCAGGATGGGCTGGGCTAGGGATCCGTGGTGGGTGCGGTGAGAGCTGAGTGGGCAGACTATGGAGGATGCAGTCAGCCCGTCAGGAACAGGTGTGCGGGTTGAGAGGCTGCGCTCAGACCCCTGGGTGGAGGAGCCCGGATGCACCAGCCAGAGGGACAGCCTGAAACCCAGTGTAGTCTCTAGGAGGAGTCCAAGCAGGAGCCACAGAGACGCGAAGAAAATAAAGACCAAACCTCGTGGATGAGATGACCTAGATGACCTTGATGAGAGTATTTTCCCTGTGGGGTGAATGTGGAGGCCAGGCTGCCAGGGACTGAGGTGGGAGTAGCAGGAGGGGAATACAGGCGGGGTCAGACGCGACCTTTCTAACTCTTGGCTGCGGTGGGCAGGAGGAAAACGGGTGGAACTAACAAGGGGCGTGAGATGGAAGGTGTTGTGTGGTTCAGGTAGGACAGAGTTGAAGGTGTTGGCTTGCTTGAGGGAAACCAGCCGGTAGCAGGAGAAGTTGAAGCAAGAGTGGAGAGGGGAAGGTGCCCTGGGTGAGGGGCGAAGGTCCACAGGGCAGCGGCGGGCCTGAGGGTAGGGGAAGCGCCTCTTGGGGGACCGGGGCGAGCTGGGGTCTGTTCTCCTGAAGGCGGCCAGCTCCGCAGTGAACAAGACCGTGTAGGTTTCTTGGAAGGTGGAGGGACGACGGAGCTGAGCAAAGACAAGTAGAAGACAGCGCAGCGCCAAGCCGTCAACTGGGACGGGAGCAGCCACACACAGGGAACAGTGACCTCTCCACGCCCACGGCTGGCGTCCACGACTTCGGCCCGACCCCCTCTTCTGACCTCCTTCCCCCAAGTCCAACACTGCAAACGCCGAGCTGCCGGCTGCGGCCCTATTGGAGGGGCCTCAGTAACAGAGGGCAGGTGCCAGTCTCGCGCCCTAGTTCCTTCCTCTGCTACAACTCCAAGTTCGAGGCCACAGTGCCTTCTGGAAGAGTGGTAGTGCTGCCTGGGAGCACTGCACAGGAGAAACGGGGGCTGGAGGTAAAGACAGGAGGCTTGGGAGGCGGCGACGTGGGCGAGCTGGAATAGTCTAGAAGCTGAGCAGAACAAAGGCGGTGTGACTGGTGAGCCTCGGAGGGATCCTCCTCCCTGCTAGAATATGCATGATCCTGCGGGAGTCTTCGCCCGCCAGGAGCAGGGACGCGTCCGAGCCAACACGGGGCGCGCGCCCAGGCGCACTTTCCCGGCTCGGGGTGCAAGAGAGCCAGGCAACCGCGGCGCGGCGGAGGGGCTGCAGGCCCGGACCCCAGGCCGGCCAGCGTGTAAGCGCCCCCGCCGGCCGGGCTCCGTGGGGGGTCAGCTCCCAGACCCCTACAGCGTGGTAGCGCCTCTCCGAGTGCTCCGGGACCAGCGGCCCGGCCGCCCCCAAAGTCAGCTTCCCTTTCCCTTCCCCGCACCGGGATCCCAGACCAGGGAGGGGGCGCACGTCCGACGGCAGAGGACTAGCGGGGCGCGGGCCGGCCCGGCAGGTGCCCATCGTCGCCCTGTGGGACCCCGGTGGCGCGTTCTGTCCTCCGCCACCACCCCGGCTGGTTGGGACCCAGCACCCAGTGGAGCGCGCCGCCCCCTCGGGGACCCGCTGGGCGGGGCTGAGCGAGGCTCGGAGTGCGGGCGCGGGGACGCGGGGCGAACCCAGGGCGCTACGCCACCTCGGCTGTCTCCAGCGGAGACCGGCGCCCTCGCCTCCGTCTCCGTTCATTGCGCCGCATTCATCCAGCAGATTTTAAAACAATTCTCGTTTAAAAAGGCATTTTACTCCGCGCGTCTTCCTTACAGCCATTTAGTTGGGAGTTTGCGGTGGGCAGGGGGAGGGAGAAGAAACGCCTGCTCCGAATCGGAAAACACCGAAGAGACCAGACCGTCTGTTTCAGCAGCAGGAGAGAGACCGGCCGTCGCAGGAGCCGCGCACGTCTCCAACTCTCTAGTGCTTTTTGCGCACATTCCTAACTGCCGGACGTCCATCCCAGCGGGCAGGCATGGGGTGTTTGGGCGGCAACAGCAAGACGACAGAAGACCAGGGCGTCGATGAAAAGGAACGACGCGAGGCCAACAAAAAGATCGAGAAGCAGTTGCAGAAAGAGCGCCTGGCTTACAAGGCTACCCACCGCCTGCTGCTCCTGGGTAAGGCCGAGGGGCGCGCGGCGGCTCCCGGCCCCAGCGGAGCGCACAGTCAGGAGCGGCGAGCGCCGGGCTGGGCGGGCAGGGCCGGGCGAGGGGCGCGCGCACCGCCGAGCGGCGGAGCCCAGACGGCGGCCGGGGCGAGCTCCTCCAGCCGGGAACCCGCGTGTAGGAAATCCCTGTGCTGGGGGAGGAGGATTGCTCAGACCCGGCTAGTGGTGAGAAATGGCAGCGATATCCGGACACAGTTCACAGCCTACTTTCTGTTTGTTTGCAGGGGCTGGTGAGTCTGGGAAAAGCACTATCGTCAAACAGATGAGGATCCTGCACGTCAATGGGTTTAATCCCGAGTAAGAATGATCAATTTCGGTTTTGCTTCCAAACTGCATGCAAACTTCGTCTCTCCCAAACGTCCCAGAAGTGCTTTCTCTAAACAATGTATTTGATAATTGAGTAGACATTCAAGGGGGAAAAAATTAGATATTTGCTGTTGGATTTGGTATATTTAGTCAAATCCTTCTTCTGCTAGTGTCTAATTTAAAGAAAAAACCTGCTTAACAAAATATGATTTATAGGTATTCTTGGAGTATTGATCTGTATTACTGGTATTGCTCTGAGCACACTTAACCAATAGCTCAGTATATTTTTTCAATATAATATTTGTCTGCATCTATTTCAGTTTATAACTATCAGCATATTCTCCATGGGATAGACCTAGGTAAAATACATTTAGAAGTGTAGCTGCATCGTTATGTTTATATGCAATATTCATAGCGATTTTGCCTTGTTTTTATGTAAGCTGCATGGTTGTTTAAAGCTATAGATTTTAAAAATGTGTGCATTCAAGTTTGTTTAGAGTGCAAATGAGAAAAGGAGGGTGCTTTCCTTTCCCAGATAAAACCTTTGCAGATGTTGTGTTGGGGGATGATACTGACCTCTAGTGAAACCAGTCTAGGTCAGTGCTGTAGCTGGAAATTTAAAATCCCACTCAATTGATTGGAATCAGTGTTAAGGGTAAATTAAGCTAATAACAACTCTCTTTTAATACAGGGAAAAGAAACAGAAAATTCTGGACATCCGGAAAAACGTTAAAGATGCTATCGTGGTAAGGACTTTTTTAAATGCTTGTTTACTAGAAAGGTCAAGTGCGCTTCATTCTAAAACTGTAGACAGAAATTACATATTGTAGATTATCATACATGGAGCCTCAATGTTTATCCATATTTTTTTCTTATTCCATTTTAGACAATAGTTTCAGCAATGAGTACTATAATACCTCCAGTTCCGCTGGCCAACCCTGAAAACCAGTTTCGATCAGACTACATCAAGAGCATAGCCCCTATCACTGACTTTGAATATTCCCAGGTAAGAAGTGCTTCCTGAAATAGTCTAACTAGTGAAAGATGGAACCATTTTTAATAAGGTTTCTTTTTGAGAATCAATATTGATACTAATTCATTATTAACTTTCTTTGAAACCCAACTCTCTAAATGCCTAAGAGAAATACTTATTCTGTACCAAAATATTTATGTTTGTTAAAAATATTAACTACAGCCAGGGGCAGTGGCTCACACCTGTAATCCTAGCACTTTGGGAGGTCAAGGTGGGCGGATTGCCTGAGGTCAGGAGTTCAAGACCAGTCTGGCCAACATGGTAAAACCCCATCTCTACAAAAAATACAAGAAAATTAGCTGGGCTTGGTGGTGTGCACCTATAATCCCAGCTACTCAGGGGGCTGAGGCAGGGGAATTGCTTGATCCAGGGAGGTGGAGGTTGCAGTGAGCCCAGATCATGCCACTGCACTTCAGCCTGAACGACAGAGCGAGATTCCCATCTAAAAAAAAAAAAAATTAACTACAATGGCATTGCAAGACATGCTTTTATGAGTGTACGGGGAAGGCTGATAATCAGGAAGGCAGCATACCTTTAAGAAATGTTAATGGTGCTTTTTTTCCTGTCTGTATTCTTAAACTAACAAGCAGTTTCCCAGATAACAACAGTAGAAATTACATGAGTAGAGAAAAATACTTACGGTGGGTAATTGTCTCCCTGGGAATTACAGAAACAGCAGAATTCAGTTTACTCTTAAGATGCACAGCCTTCAGATCAATTAAGAGAAGAATGCATTGTTTAAAAGATGATAGCATGGATCACTTCTGAATATTTATCATATTAAAATGCAGTTTGGTTCACATCTGCATTATTTAGGGCTGCTTTTCCTAATCACTTGGATGGCAGTATTGCTTATGCAAAAAAGTGACATCAATATTAGTTTTCTCTCATTTTCAGAATATACATTTCTTTAAAATATTTGGTCATTTCATAAAGCATGTTTCAAAGGAAAAGTATTTGTTAAGCTTCTCAGAAAGTCATTTTTGTTACAGTGCACCAGAAGAGTGTATGTGTGTGTGTGTGTGTGTGTGTGTCTGTATTCATCAATACCAGTATTTCAGAGTTTGTATTGCCTGGCATGGTGGTTTGGAGACATACTTCCTTCTCAGAATCCTCTCTTTGAAGGGAAGCATGTGGAGAAACTGATGTGTAAAACAGAGAGGCCCTGCCCTGCCTGCAAGGCCCGTGTCCCCCAGCTCACCCCACCCCTTCTCTCCAGAGCACCATTGTCCTGTGGGCTCTGTGTTGGGATGGCTAATAAGAATGACTTTTTTTGTTTGTTTGTTTGTTTGTTTGTTTGAGACGGAGTCTTGCTCTGTTGCCCAGGCTGGAGTGCAGTGGCGCGATCTCGGCTCACTGCAAGCTCCACGTCCCGGGTTCATGCCATGCTCCTGCCTCAGCCTCCTGAGTACCTGGGACTACGGGCGCCGCCACCACCCCCAGCTAGTTTTTTTGGTATTTTTAGTAGAGACAGGGTTTCACCGCGTTAGGGATGGTCTTGATCTCCTGACCTCATGATCTGCCCGTCTCGGCCTCCCAAAGTGCTGGGATTACAGGCATGAGCCACCACGCCCGGCCAAAAATGACTTTTTTAAAAAGCTTTTATTTTCATCCTTTAATATGACTTTTGCTTCTGATAAGCATACCAATGTAGAGCCAGTGATATCTGTGGAATTTCTAAAATGGAGGAGTGAGCAGTGGCACGCTGGCTGGAAGAAGGGGCCAGGCATCTGGCCCCATGTTTTTAATTGGATGGCTTGGAGAGGGCAAGGAGTTGACATGGCAGGGGAAAGGGTAGGCAGAAGATGCTCCAGCCACACCAGGATCCTCCGCTAACTGGAGGTGCAGGTGTCCTCCCGGTTCTCACTGATACTGTGTACACTGGCAAAATCACCCAGAACTACATGGTCCTGGTTGAAATCGGGAGTGGTGTTTCCTTTCAACTTCAGATTTAGACATTTATAGAAAAGCATCTGAGTTCTCAGATTTATCCTATCTTGTTTGCCTAAAAGTAATCATAAAACATCGTATATATTTAGGGGGAAATGCTATTCTTAACATCTAGTGAGAAATTAAAATTAAGATTTATTAGTCAGTCTCATGTCTTCTTTCTCCTGTTCATGACAGTCTCACGGTTGATGAGGCATCCCATATTCAACCCCAAATCCAGAAACAATTGGTAACTCCCACCTGTATTATCTAAGGAATCCAAAGCAGCTAGTTTGTGAAAGTGTTTTTGTAGCTAAATCATGAACATTTTTAATTAAAAACTTGAGAAACCATTTGCTTTGAATGCATATATTTTCATATAGATAAATTAAGGTTACTTAAAAGTTATTATCAGAAAGCATAATTAATTGTCATTATAATAAAGGAGAATTTAGCACCAGCAGATGCAAATGTAATTACAATGCTCTTTCAGAGGTAATATTTTGTGGGAGTTAGTTTTACTGGTGTTTTTTAAGCCTAACATTCTGTTGTCTTAAATGTCTACGCACATGTCAGATGAGAGTATATTTTATGTATATATTTATGTATATTTGTATATTTTTAATATATCCCAGGCTTATATAAATAAGGAAATTAATGTTAAATATGCAACATTCCTTCTGAAAATGCCATTTTTAATTTTAATATGCACAGAATTTTCGTGACATTTATTTCATAGTGCTTGGAAATATTTTTATTACTTACTAAATTGTGTAGTTCTTGGTTTCATATTTTGATGATCCTCATTCAGAATGATATCAGGACAAATCTGACTTATATGCTCCATTGGAAAATTGACTTTTATTTACAAGAATGTATGTTTTTTATAACGTACAAGTAGATTTTACAAGTAGAGCTAAATCAAGTATTTTAATGGTAAACAAAACACTGTTTTACTCAATCCAGTACTTTTTTGAGATTGAATCCTTGAGAAAGCCTGTCAGTGTCACGGTTCAATTATTTGAGGGTCTTAAGTTAATTTTCCTGTAAAGATAAGATAACTTTTGAGCCAACTACATTATATTAAAGTTAAAAATTAATTTTAGGGTTCTTCAATTTAAGAAGGAAAATGAGAATAATAACTTGGAAACAAACATCTTGAGAATTTTCTCTGAGAGTATTGCAATGGGGTAAATACGGGTGGGTTGCTCTTTGGGTCTTTTGGTCTTTGTGGTGTCTTTCATTTGAATTTCAGTTGAATTCCATGAATCTGAAGTTGTAACGGAAAGCAGGCAAATGTGGTTAGCACCTATCAGCCAAGGGCTGCTGCGGGGAGGTCAGAGAGATTCGGAGGCTGGATCTTACCATCGGCCTTACAGGCCAGGTGTGTCCGGACGCACGAAGCTTTGGAGTGTTCTAAGCAATGGAGCCATGAGATCTCATGTGTTTCATCAACATCACTCTGGCTGTGGGTGGAAAATGGATTGTGGGGAGGCAGGAGTTGAAGGAGGGTAGCCACTTCGGAGACCATTGTAATAATACAGAGGAAAGGTAATGGGACAGCTTGCAGTGGGAGGGGGTCATGGGGGTGGAGGAAAGTGGTCTGAGTTGGGGTTTATTTTGGAAACAGAACCATTTAGACTTGTTGGCATGTGGATGTGAGTACTGAGGGGAAACAGACCAATCGAGAATGACTCTGAGCGTTTGGGTCTGAATTTCTGCATGGAAGGTAGAAACAGGTTGGGAGGAGGCAGGTATGAGGAGGTTTTGTTTTCCTAGTGAGTTGGAGGTGACTATTTCGACATCTCAGTGGAGACGCCAGGTGGACAGTTGGATGTGTGAGGCCCCAGGAAGAGCCCCTGCAGAAGGAAGGGGTGTCAGCGGTGGGCAGTGCTGTCCAGGGCAGTCAAGACAGACATTCAAGTAACATGACTTTGGCAGCTTCAAGGTCACCAGTGACCTTGATGAGGACCCGGGTGGCGGGTGTTGAGGAGAGAATGTGATGTGAGCGGGCGGAGGTGGCAGGGCCGGATGAGGCTTTCTGCAGGCTTTGCTGTGGAGGAAGCGTGAGGGGCCAGGCAGCAGCTGGGAAGGAGGAGCCAGGCAGCAGCTGGGAAGGAGGGGCCAGGCAGCAGCTGGGAAGGAGGGGCCAGGCAGCAGCTGGGAAGGAGGGGCCAGGCAGCAGCTGGGAAGGAGGGGCCAGGCAGCAGCTGGGAAGGAGGGGCCAGGCAGCAGCTGGGAAGGAGGGGCCAGCAGCTGGGAAGGGGGCCAGGCAGCAGCTGGGAAGGAGGGGCCAGGCAGCAGCTGGGAAGGAGGGGCCAGGCAGCAGCTGGGAAGGAGGGGCCAGGCAGCAGCTGGGAAGGAGGGGCCAGGCAGCAGCTGGGAAGGAGGGGCCAGGCAGCAGCTGGGAAGGAGGGGCCAGGCAGCAGCTGGGAAGGAGGGGCCAGGCAGCAGCTGGGAAGGAGGAGCCAGGCAGCAGCTGGGAAGGTAGGTGAGGTCAAGAGAGGGTTTCTTTAAGATGAAAGTTACGAAAGCCCGTCTGAATGAAAAGGGCTGGAATCGCTTGGTAAAGCAGGAGAAAATGACAATACAGAAGAAAGAGGCTGTGTATGGCAGGAGTCCAGTCCTCGAGAAGGTAAAAAGAATGGGATCCAGAACAAAAAGGGACCAGACCACCTCCCCACTTGTTGAACAGGAGGGAAGGCCGAGAACAGGTGTAGACGCAGGTATGTTTTCAGATTTGGTGGCAGAGGGTGAAGGAGGGCTTGATAGCAAAGACTTTTCAAGCAAATTGTGAAAGGAAATTGGTAGCTTACATGGGGATGATCGTCTACTTTTGCAATTATCCATACACTGGCCCATCTCCTTTTTGTGGTATTGTTCAGGTTGTGATGAACAATGGTAGACTGATAAAGTTCTTGTGACCTCGAACTCATGTGATACAGTTATTCCGTTATTCCCTTCACAAGCCAGAACTGTAAAGGGGTGTTTCATACCAGGTTGAAGCAAAAAACAAAAAAACTCCACTTATCTTCACAGCAAAC